TCTGCATATGTAATAGTGAGAATCCCAGACTCCCCCCATGAGTGTAGTTATTATTGTTGGGTTAAGTCTATTTTCTTGCTATTTATTTTCTGTGTCCCCTTTCTTCTTCTTTCTTCCTCTCTTGTCCTCTTTTGGGTTAATCAAACTATTTTCAGTATTCCATTTTATCTTCACTAATGGCTCTTTAGCTACACTTAGTTTATTGTTTTAGTGGGTGCTCTAAGGAATTAAATATGCATCCTTAATTCATCACAATCTATTGGGTCTTTGGAAAAGTCATGACACATGTTTGCAACAAATGGCACTAGTTCATTTTTCATTTTTGGAAGTACTAGAGTCATTTGCATCTATGTTATTGCTATGTCATTTGACAGCTGACAGTGCTAGCTCCATTCTAAAAAAAATTGAGCGATTTGGTTACATTTTAGAGACTTTACAACAAATTGAAGATGGAACACCGAACTGTGCATTTTTGCCGTATTTTACTGTTTTACTTCCATAAAGGGAAGAACGTGCATCAAGCTTATAAAAGTTGCATAAAGTTTACAGTGACAATGCTCTATAAGAACGTCAGTGCCAACGATGGTTCACGAAATTTCGTGCTGGTGATTTTGATCTCAATGACGCTCCTCGGTCAGGGAGGCCCACCGAGGTTGATGACAAAATAAAGGCATTGATCGAGTGAAACCCATGTTACACGACACGACAGATTGCAGAAACACTGAACATCCATCATTCAAGCGTTCACGACCACCTGAAGAAGCTGGGACACGTAAGCAAGCTCGATATTTGGGTTCCACATGAACTCAAAGAAGTTCATTTGACGGCACACATAAACACCTGCAATATGCTCATTAAACGTGAGGAAAACGATCTTTTTTTGAAGCAACTGCTAACTGGTGATGAGAAGTGGATTGTTTACAACAATGTGGTATGCAAACAGTCTTGGTCCCAACATGATTATTTGCCTCAACCGACATCAAAAGTAGACATTCATCAGAGGAAGGTTATGTTCTCAGTATGGCGGGATTTTAAAGGTGTCATGTTTTTCAAGCTCCTAACAAGGAACCAAACAATCAATTCGAATGTGTACTGTCAGCAATTGGACAGTTTGAAGGAATCCATCATCCAGGAAAGTCTAGAGCTTAATTGTAAAGGAGTTGTGTTCCATCACGACAATGCGAGACCACACACAAGTTTGATCACCTGTCAAAAATTTTTGGAGCTTGGATGGGATGTGTTGCCACATCCACCATACTCGCCTAACTTTGCGCCGTCAGACTTCCACTTGTTTCGCTATCTTCAAAACTCCTTGAGTGATAAAACGTTCAATTCAGATGAAGCTGTAAGTCAGCACCTTGTTCAGTTTTTTGCAAATAAAGACAGGTCCTTCTATGAATGAGGAATTATAAAACTTACTGAAAGATGGCAAACGTTATCAAACAAAATGGGCAATATATCATTGATTGATCTTTGTTCTTTATATAACTAGCCTTTAAAAAACTTAGACAAAATGCGTCATGACTTTCCCAGACCCAATACTTTATAGTCACCCCATTTCATGTATAATGTAAGAAACTTACAAGAGTATAATTCCTTTTCCTCCTCCCTGCAACATTTGTGCTATTGTTGCAAATATATTTTATTTCTACCTATTAATATAGGTATATTGTGATTCAATAATTTTTGTACATTGGTTGTTTCAACCTGGTATTGCCTTTCTTCTTTTGAGAGGGGGGAAAAGACAAAGGATAGTTAATGGAAGGTAAAGCACCTACAACCAGTATTCCTTCAATCATAGAAGTCTTTCTTCCACTTTTATTTTATTTTTGGAAGAGTACTCAACACTTTCTAAGAACTGAAAGAGAATGAGAATGCAGTGTCAGATTTGCATAAATGCTGAAGTAACATTATTCGCAGATCATTCTTCTTGCCAACTGACTTTTCCATTGGAAACTTGTTGAGAAAGTTAAAGAAGCCACATCTCTTAAGCAGAACAGAACATTCTGTACAGCAAAACAAGAGAGAGATTGCAAACTTAAAAGTGATTTCATCACAAGGTTCAGATTTGACACCTACCAACTGAGTGGTTCCAAAATTTGGTCTCAAATATTCTTTATTTTCAAAGGCAAAGAATGAGAACAGAGAAACTTTCAAGCAATTATAAAATGAACCAAAGGCATCAAAATTTGGTTCTGTGCTTCCAAGATGTGACATCTAGAGGTTATAAAAGTATTTAAATTTTAATTATATGAAAATTAACCTCAATTACTCTACTGTGATTAAATAGAAAGGAAAGGTGAAGTTTTTTTCATTGGATACATTCTATAAATCTGATATTTGTGACTGAGCAGGTGCAACGTGTGGGAACAAGCTTCACTGGCAAATGGGAAGGCTCTTTTCACACATCTTTTAAAATATAAGGGTCAGCAAGACTCCAAAAAGGAGCTTTCTAAA